TTATGGACTTTATTTGAAAAGAATAAGAGGAGGAGGGACTGAAAATGTTAATATGGTAAATTGTTGAGATTGGACGGGAGTTTATAACCCGTCACGTTATCACTCTCAAACCCTAACCCTACCTTATCAACCTCCAGCCACCACCTTCTTTCTCTACCTCCAACCGCCACTACCAGCTCCGACCACTTAGCACCATCGAACACCCACCGGCGGCCCTTGTTGCCAGTGTTAACGAAGACCGACGGGAAACCGGGAACGAAGCTGCACCAGTTGAAGATCGGAGAACGTGGTCGTTTCAATCGCTTCTCCTCCTTTCTTCCTTGTTTCGTGTCGTCTCAGCGTTAGCTGACGTCCGTCGCTGCTCATGTGATAGTCAAGGACGTCGTTCCTTCTGCCACTGCGCCATTCCTGTTGAAGACAGAGCCGCCGTCGAACAACCACCGTTTTGTTGCTGCCACTACTAGACTGTTCCGACGAGATCGTGGCAGCTTCAATCGCTTCTCCTCCTTTCTTCTGTGTTGTCTTAATTTTTGCCGATGTCCGTCCGTCGCCGCTACCGCCGGCTGTTAAGGTTGTTGTTGTTGCCGTTCGTTGTATGCCACCAGGTGGTTCGTTGCGTCCATATCTCGTGCAAGGATGCCTGTGTACTGGTGTATGTGTTGCATGACCGGAAATCAAAAGTGAACCACCACCACCACCACCGTGAGGTGGTGGCTATCAACTCCGACCACCACCTGTCGCCACAAGGGTGGCTGTGTATGTGTGTGTGTGTGTGTGTGTGTTCCTTTTAGATAATATGTTGTAAAATGTATTGCTTTGGCCGGATTAATCAAGGAAAAATCCACCACCACCACCAGCCGCCGTGTTGGGTGACGGTGTGCATTTGTGTGTGACTGGATTTCTATTTGAGATGCTTGGACATGTTTTGACCTGGAATCATAACCACCACCGCCACGAGGTGGTGGCCGCCGCCGTTGACCACCACTACCCGAGGTAGTAGTGGGTGGTGTCTGACTTATTTAACAGAAATTGACCTAAAAACTTAACAAATGGACTAATTGGCACGCGATTGCATTGGAAACCCTAATTAGGGTTTAGAAAACCCTAATTTTGGAAATGTGAGTTTGGATTTGTCGGGACCCATGTTTGGACCGTTGGATTTGGAATTTTGAATTATGCCCGGCCACATTGTATGTTTGGTCTAGTGGAGTGATGGACTTAATAGTTTAAGTCCTTAATGGGTTAAGTAAGAACACTTAACCCTAATCGTCATTTTATGTGAAAAAACCCTAATTAGGGTTGGGTTCTTGTTGGGCCATTTCTTGGACTAAGTTGCTATGGGCCTTCGTGGGCCAATTGGGAACATGGTTTTTGGACTAAGGAAATTATTGGGCTTTAGGATAAGGCCCATTGGAAAGGCTTAGGCCCAATTTGGAAAATTAGGCCATAGGTGGGCCATAATTGGGCCTTGATGATTATGAGATATTGGTCCATCGGAATGCCAATAGTTTGGACTAGAATAAATGGTTGGGCCCTAAGGTAAGACCATGTAGAGGTTTGGGCCCAATTTGAAAAATTGGGCCATTTTTTGGGCCTTGGTTGATCATTTAGCTTTTGGGCCTTTAGAGTGTGAGTTTGGGCCTTGGTTTTGAGACAAGCTAGGTTAGGGGTAAAATGGTCCTTTTACCCAAAGTGTGGATTTATGGTTATGCATTGAAACCCAAATGGTTAATTGGATGTTGTTTTGATATGGAAAGTTCGGGAGTCTGTCATCCAACAGCTAGGGTCTTATCCGCGGGACTTCGGCAGTACGAGGTGAGTCTCCTCACCATACCAATGGGTCGAAGGCACCAAGGCCGACCCATTTATCTAGTTGTGATGATTATTGTGGATGTGCTATCGATACATTATGTATTTATGTGAAGACCATGCGGGGGTTCCCATGGCAATTAGTTATATGTGGTATGCTAATTGATTGTGTGGCATTTGGTATGCTAGTTGTCTTTGTGATACTTGCATGGAAGACTCTGAGGGGTTCTCGAGGCATTGTATATAAGACCATGAGGAGGTTCCCATGGCACTCCAGGATAAGACCATGTGGGGGTTCCCATGGCAGTAGGCTAAGACCATGTGGGGGTTCCCATGACACCCGGTGTAAGACCTTGGAGGGTTTTCATGGCACCTTTATATGCTTGTATGTATGGATTATATGGTTTGTATGACACATCTGTTGATTAGTGAAGATCATGTAAGGGTTCCCATGGCAGTTAGTTAAGACCATGTATGGGTTCCCATGGCAGGTAGTTAAGACCATGTGGGGGTTCCCATGACTTATGTAAAGAGCTTGGAGGGTTTCTACGGCTTCCTTATCTGATTATATGCATGACTTATGTGATTGATATGGTTTATGTGGGGTATGCTCAGGGGAACTCACTAAGCTTCGTGCTTATAGTTTTGTTTATGGGTTCAGGTATCATTGGAAGGGTCCGGCTTGATCGCAGCGCACACACCCGTGTTTTCCGCATTATGTGATTCTGTGATATAACTCTAATAAATGTTTTAATTAAGCAATATTTTTGAATGGTTGGATTAAGTAACATATGTGTTTGACTATAATGAAAAATGAATTTTTTACCCTTGATTTTTGGGTCGTTACATATATTGAATTATTTATAAATACGAAATTAAGATGATATTCATGGTAATATGGTGTTTAAGAAAAAATTGATTTTTATTAGGTAGTTGTTTATATTGTAAAATAAATATGAAAATTCCTTAAGCTTAAGATTTAAAATAAGGAATGAAGAAACGTATTCATTGCAAATTACTATCACATTAATTATATTTAATACTCCCTCCGTCCCAATATTATTGTCCACAGACAAAAAAACACACAGATTAAGAAAAGCATTAATTACCACTAACTTTATATAATAAAATGACAGTTTTGTCATTACTTTGCATTTAATATTCCATTAAATGCTTAGTTGGTTAAGTAATAATGAGGGGGTATTTTTGGTAAAAATGTTATTTATTTTTAAAAGTGGACTATTATTTTGGGATAAACCAAAAAAAAAAAGATGTACTATAATTTTGGGACGGAGGGAGTATATTACATATATAAATAGAAATATTATGTGGTTTTTTAATTTTAAAAATTGAAAAAAAAAACAGAAATTGATATGTGGATATTATTTATTTTAAAATTTCCATAAAATGACAAGTGTCAAGAATCATAAGATATTGACATATGACATAGTAAATCTTGATTTATTAAAGTATACTAGATGTGAGACTAGTATGCTATACGAGTTAATTAAAAAAAAGTTAAATATGAAAGTTGGTAAGAAATGAGCAATTATTTTTATTTATGAGACTTGTAATACGCACGCTGATTAAAAAAGTAGTTAAATATGAAGTCCGGTAAAAGATGAATAATTTATTTTTAGTTGTGAGTCCGTATACTATATGAGCTGATTAAAAAAAATTAAATATAAAATTTGGTAAAATTTGAATAATTTATTTATAGTTGTGAGATCCGTATATTATACGAGTTGATTATAAAAATATTAATCAATTTATGTTTCTATAAGTTTATGTTATTAAATATGAAATTGATGATCAAACTTTGTAATGGATTATTAATATCGATATGTGAGGTAATGGCGAGACTAATAGCATCCTAAATTAAAACTAAAAGTAATTTTCATATATAATACAGTTGAGCGAAATGATTCTTTTGATTTTTCTTGATTGAGCAATAGATATGATACAACATAAATACATGAAATTAATAATTAATTATGGGATATATACACTAAAGTCCCAATATTTTCATCGATTTGACAAGAAAGTCTTAAACTTTATTTTTTGACAGTAAAGTCCAAATTACCAGCAGTTTTTGACACCTTTACCCTTTTTTTCCGGTTAGCCGGTAATTAGGATTTTTTTGTCAAAAAATTAAAGTTTAGGACTTTTTTTTCAAATCGTCAATTAGGACTTTACTGTCAAAAAAATAAAGTTCATGACTTTCTTGTCAAATCGTTGAAAATATTGGGACTTTAGTGTATGTATCCTTTTTTTTTGTTAGAAATTTAATGGTATGATACTCTTTAAGCATAAGAGTTATTGAAACATTCTCTAGTCAGCTAGATCCTATTGAAATCCTTAATGTTTGCTTCTTGTTAAATCGTTTTTTTAATCTCAACAAACCGATATTGAAAAAAAGGCAATTTCTCTTTTTTCGGTTTCTTATTTCTCTATTTTTGGGACTGCAAAAAGCCAACACAACCCTGGTTCTTTCTTTCTTTCTTGATTATCTTCATTTTGTTCAATGTCGGTTTGTTGAGATTAAAAAAACGACTTAAAAAGAAGCAAACGTTAAGGGTTTCAATAGGATCTAGCTGACTAGAGAAGGTTTCAATAACTCTTATGCTTAAAGAGTATCATACCATTAAATTTCTAACAAAAAAAGGATATATACACTAAAGTCCCACTATTTTCAACGATTTGACAAAAAAGTCTTAAACTTTATTTTTTTGACAGTAAAGTCCTAATTGACGATTTGATAAGAAAGTCCTAAACTTTATTTTTTTTGACAAAAAAGTCCTAATTACCGGCTAACCGGAAAAAAATGGTAAAAGTGTCAAAAATTGCCGGTAATTTAGACTTTACTGTCAAAAAAATAAAGTTTAGGATTTTCTTGTCAAATCGATGAAAATATTGGGACTTTAGTGTATATATCTCATTAATTATTATGAGGTGACGTTTGAATAAAACAAATAAAATAACAAATAAATATTAAATAATTAAAAAATCAATTAGTGCCCAATTACATGAAAAGATAACGTATGAACAATTGAATTTTGATTTATTAGAATAGATTAAATGATTTTTATAATTTGTTCACCATTTCACATAATAAGAAATGAGACGATATGCAAAAAGATGTAAACTTAAATAAAAATAAATAAATAAATAACAGCCTCATCCTTATTTCACTACCCTATTCCTAGTTCCAAGTTTTCACTTCCCACCCAAATTTTTTTGCTCTTCTCTTTTCGGAACCGATCGTCGTTTTATACTTGAAGAAGTCGCAAGTGCTAAAACAGTGCTCAACAATGGCGACGTCAACCACCATAAACAACGGAGAAAAGGTTATGCTGCTAGAAGCTCCAGCATCTTCACGGCCTTCTTGGTCCAGTAGTGCTGCGCAAATCGACGCATTGCCCTACATCGATGACGAATACGGCGACCCCAAAGTGAAAGCCGAAGTTGACCGTTTAATCGAAGAAGAGATGCGTTGTAGCTCTAAGAAACCTTCGGATTACCTTAAAGATCTCCCTCCTGTTGCCAAGTTTAATTTTGAGGTATTCTCTCATCTTGCTAAATTTTCTAGGGTTTTACTACACGCCCCAATTCTTTTTCCAAAACCGTACTGTGTCTCCCTCTGAATCTGCATCTGCGTACATATCTGTATATTCTGCAAGTGCAATTCTTATTTTGTTTTTTTATACAATAAGCTAGTTTGACATGAACAATTGAGCATGCTACCAATTGCAATTTTGCTGTTGTAGTGCCTAGTCGCAGTGTTCAACTTAGTGTTTTAGTAAGTCAATTCAAAAGGCTTTAGAACATTTTCTCAGATCTTTGATGTAAGACCGGAGAAATTTAACAGAGTTTTGTAGGAAATAGATTAGGGAAAGAAGTAGATGATGCAGAGAAGAACATGATCAACAACATCTCACTAATTTTTTTTTCTTTTAAAGAATTATCCAATGCTTGCAAGGGAGTATGAAAGGGTGAGATCTGGTAAACCAATGGTGCCTCTTGATATGTCAAGATATGGACTTGAGACTCCATCACTTAACAAAAGGAATGATGAAACTGCTTGGAAACAAGCACTACAGAAATCTCAACGTTTGCTTCAGCATCAAGTTATTAGGTAACAATTAATTAACTTATTTGGTTTTCAGAGCTCTGTGTGATTTGGTCGGAATTGGAATTCAGTTCCATTCCAATGATCCCATGTTTGACAGATTCAAATTCTTTACTTTTTCCATTGATTTTGTATTTAACTTGTTCTTATGTGATGCCAGGCTGGAAAACCTGGATTTAATGTCAAAATATGGAGCTGATGTATGGAAACAACACAATCAGAGACTAGAAGCATTTTTATCAAGGTCAGTGTAATCAATCTCCTTTCCTTTTAATATATATATATTTTTAAATCTGTTTCTACATCTCTGTTAAAATTCAATTTTTTCATCATCTCTGTTAAAATCTGTTTCTACTCTTTCTGGTTATGATTAAAATTAATGTTGAAAAGACGTGAAAGCCCTCCTCATCTTCATCATCAAAAAAATGAGTTAAACATTCATTTGAGTTAAATTTGATGGAATTCAATTCCATTTCTTGACCCTTTGCATATGAAGGAATAGAGTTTGCTGAAAATTCAATGCTGAGGGTATTTACGTCTTTTTCACACATGACATTTGTTGTTTTCTACAGAATGCAAGCACAAGCAGCTGAGTTAAACGAAAAGATAGAAACCGTTAATCGAGAAAGAAAATATCATCAGGTAACTTTATTCTTACTAAATATAGGAACAATTAATCTGATTTATATCATATACATATTTTATTAATTTCACATTTACTTTTTATATATTTTTTAAAACAGCAAAATACTGCATATGAGCTTAATGCATTGTCAGCACAATGGAAGGAGCTCTGTTATAAAAACATAGCAATTGAAGCTGCATGTGTCAAGATTGAAGCCAACCTTGAAGAATTAAAAGCAGAAGCTGCAGAAAAGTATCAAATTTCTTACTTTTTTCCGTTTATAAATTATAAATTATTTTGTTAATTTAAACTCTATTCAAATTTCTTACTTTTTTCCGTTTATAAATTATAAATTATTTTGTTAATTTAAACACTATTCATGATTTTATTTTTTTAATGTAGAGGCTGGAATCTTGATGTTAATATGGAAAATGGCTCTTCGTTGCCTTGAGTTTGGTAAAAGGTATGAAATTGTGATTTAGGTTTTGATTCTTGTTTAGTAGTAATGGGTTTTATTTTGTACTTAAAAATGTTTTTTTCTACATGATTTTGTAGTTGATGACATTTAGATTTTGATTCTTAACATAGAAGGATTTTTTTATTTCTCATACATTGCTTGTTTGTTCTATGTGGAGTGAAATTGTGATTGTTTTGGTTCTTATTAGGTATTTTGAATAGGGAAATCTCAAGAAAAGTCCTAAAATTTTACCTTAATTTACGAAAAAGTCCTAAACTAAATTTTGTTTACGAAAAAGCATGAATTACCAGTAAAAATGGCGATTTGACCCATTTTTCTCAGTTTACCGGTTTTATTACTTATCTGTTTCACTAAAGTCCCATTATTTTACCCTAATTTGCGAATAAGTCCCAAAATAAAATTTACTGATGATTTGACCATTTTCTCTATGTAACATATATTTTAGAGGTTTCATTGCCGACCCGGACGCCTAGTCATTAAATGAGATGATGAGATTGATATGTTGAGTTATCTAATGTTATGTTTAGCATAAAACTTGATATCCTTATGTATTGTATATATCTTTTTGGAACATAAAATGCATCTAACGAAGACTATAATAATTACATAAACTAACAACAACTGCGTAATTTTTTTCGTTTATAAGAAATATTAAATTGTCTATCTAATCTTATGTAACCCAATATATCCATCTCATCAGACATCAACTTATTTTTTGCCATTTTTTCTTGGAAACATACATTTTATTGGTTTCATTGCTGACGTAGATATATAGTCACAAATGAGCCGATGAGATGGGTATCAAATTTTACAGTAAATGTGACATTATATAACCCATCATATTCATCTTATCAGCTAACTTAATGACTAGGTGTCTAAGTCAGCAATGAAACCGATAAAATGTATGTTACATGAAGAAAATGGTCAAATCATCAGTAAAATTTATTTTGGGACTTATTCGTAAATTAGGGTAAAATAATGGGACTTTAGTGAAACATGTAAGTAATAAAACCGGTAAACCGGAAAAAAGGGGTTAAATCGCGATTTTTACCTGTAATTCATGCTTTTTCGTAAACAAATTTTAGTTTGAGACTTTTTCGTAAATTACAGTAAAATTTTAGGACTTTTCTAGAGATTTCCCTTTTGAATAATTTGTTGGTTAAATTATAGTAGTGTCATCCAAATATAAAGTAATTATTGGTGTTTTAATCGAGTAGATTTTTTTTGAATTATAGTGAAACATGTAAGTAATAAAACCGGTAAACCGGAAAAAAGGGATCAAATCGCGATTTTTACCTGTAATTCATGCTTTTTCGTAAACAAATTTTAGTTTGAGACTTTTTCGTAAATTAGAGTAAAATTTTAGGACTTTTCTAGAGATTTCCCTTTTAAATAATTTGTTGGTTGAATTATAGTAGTGTCATCCAAATATAAAGTAATTATTGGTGTTTTAATCGAGTAGATTTTTTTTGAATTATAGTGACCTAATAATAAAAGAATTAAGTTTTTATGGTATAATTTGGTAGACTTTTTGAAGTATACTAGTGTAATAAGAAAAAAAATATCAAGTATTTTGTGAAAATATAAAGAAATAATAGTAACGTGTTATACTAATAAGCATATAGCTGAAAGTATATTGTTTCTTGCATTTAGTGCTACATTTATGTCGACATTAATGAGAAATAACTTTCATATGATTAATTTCTTATCTAAAATTTGATGAAGACGATACGCATAAAGTTTTATAGTACAATAAAATCAACCCAATAGTTAACGAATGTATATAAAGACGAGATTAACAATTCAATGGTTTATATTTTCTGTTCGATAATACAAAAATAACCATTTGATTTTGGAAAATATAGGGAAATCACCCACTTTTATCTATTTGTCGAAATAACACAACGACTGAGAACGTAAAATTCTGATTTTTTTTCTCATTTGCTATCAAAAATTCTTTTAACTAAGTGACAATTTTATAACTAATTGGGTTGTGTGACATTGTAAGACATGTGAAAAATATAATGTATAACCATGTTCAAATCCTGACACTACTCGGTCCTTATGGACATGGAGTTTCGTCTGCAGTGACTACATGACGAGACATAATGTCATGTTTGCAGTAGGAGATTAGTCAGTGTGCGGAAGTTGGTCTGGAACCCGTGTTAAGGAAGTTCCCTTTCAAAATAAAAATGGTAAAATTGTGAATTAGAAATGTACTTTTTATAAAGTATATCTAAATGTTTCAAATGCACAAAGTTTCAAATGCACAAAGTTGATGCTATTTGGGAAATACGAAATTTAGAATTTCGTATTATCTTAGCAAAGCAAAATTGTGTAGTTTTCAGTAGAATATCTCCAAAAACTCGTTGAAATTTCGTCTAAATTTTAACGCAATTGTTGCTTATTTCACATTATTTTCGGATTTGTTGAAATTTTGGGTTGAACTTGGCACACAAGTTTCATCTTAGGGCACGCACTTGCAAACACAACCATGACATTTGAAGTAAAACAACACCACAAATGTATGTACAATCCTAAAATTTTGTTAAATGCATGAATATGTTATGATTTCATACAATCCGGAAACGATGTGAAATGCATGAATATGTTATTGATTACGTACATAACATGAAGCAAACAGTTTAGAAAACATGATAAAAGTATGCATGAAGAGGAGAATTGTTTTGAGCCCATATGAAGGAGTTTGTCCCACCATAAAGACAAGTACAAAAAAATTCATGAAAGAAGAAATGTACTCCTTTGTACAAGAATTACACATGGGAACTTGTTGAAAATCCTATAAACCAAAGGTTATTAGGCTTGTGACAAAAAGGGCACACACAATCGTATAAGTTACAAAATATTTGAAACGAATAAGTTAATTTAACTTAAACTAATGAATCATATATTAATGACTTACACTTTATTTTGTTAATCTAATGACAAAAACGTTATGTTAGTATTCAATATTTGATAAAAGTATTATCTATACATAATCAAGATGTGTATTAATGTATCTAGTTGCACGACCTAATTGTTTGTATACATACAAATTACCTCCAAATTATTTATCCCCAAACAAGAAAAATGAAAACCTAAAACCTCACTTATGGATGATTGGATTCTCACCTCTTAACCATTAGCTAAGAGGTAAATAATCAATTCATTCAAAACATATACAAATATAGCCTCCAAAATCAAGGAATATATAAACATTATTAGAACCTAATCGAATTCGAATTCAAGATTCAAGAATATGCAATTGGTTAACATTATATCAAGATACCAAAAACTAGGGTTTATTCACATCATTCGAACTACCTCCAAATTGGTAGCTTTCAATTGATAAGTTGAACAACACAAGAATATACCTTGAAAATCATTCACTACTCACAGACCCACCCTGCATTCCTTCGAACCACCAATCAGAGTTCCACCATTACTATTTGAAGAAACCCCAATTGATAAATTAGGGCAATAAACCCTCAAGATCCTCCGTCTAGCCCACCAAGAACCAGCCCTAAATCGAACCCTAGCCATCATTCTGATATTGAAATTAATCGACCCATGATTCCTCTCTACATTAATACTATCTCGATCATCAACATACGCTGTCAAAGAAGCGAATGTTGCTTTAATGGAAGTCTGATTCTTCGTTCCCTGCACAAAAGGCGGCACAGTAGTCTCTGAAATTGAATCCGATTTGTGGAAGACGGCAGCTTCAATTTGATCATAGAAAAGAGTAATTTTGGAATTAGGGTTCCGAACAATGAAACGAGCGTCCCAATCCCCGGAAACTAACGAGTTTGATGAAATATTGAAGTTAGAAAGGGTTAGTGTTTCGACTCGGAACTGAGGGATTTGTGGGCGGAGGATGAGCCACATGGTGAAGATGATGATACCGGTGATGAGGATAGAACCGATTAAGATGGCGAAGAAACGGTGGACGAAGGTGGCGCGTTGTTGGGACGCGTATGGATCGGAGTAGTAACGGTTTCCGGCAACGTGGAAGTATGTTCCGTGATTCTGTGGGGCAGTTGGAGGGGGAGCAACGTAAGGGTATGCGGTGGCGGTGTTTGGGTAGCCGGTGGCGGAGTGAGCTGGGTAGCCGGTGACGGGTCTGGATTGATCCGCCATTGAAGAGGTGGATTGGAATTGAAATTATGGGGAAAATTTTGATGATTGGTAGTTGGGTAAAGTATATAAATCATTGTAGGGGAAAGATGAGCATCAATTTATCTCTTTGTGATCCGAATCTTGAAGCCTAACTCCACTAAATATCTACAGGATTTTCAAAAAAATGTCTAAGCAAATTGCAATCTCTTTCTAAGAGTTTTGGGTTTGTTTTGAAATTAATCAACCTCAAACTTTTTCTTTATACTTCTATTCATTGATACGATGTTGACATATTTTTTTTAACATGTCAAATTCGGTTTTGTGTCACATATATTTGAAACGAATAAAGTTATTCTTTTTTGAAAGATTGATATGATGCAACGAATATTGGTGTCAATGATATGGAACAAGTGTTTTCTTAGTATTATATGGACACTTGATAATTAAAATTATTATTATGTATTTATTATATTTGCCCCTTCCTACGGTGACTTATCACCACACCGATCTCTCAACTTTTTTATATGATGATTAGGTTTGTCTTTGAAAGGCAATAGATCGAATATTTTCAATTCTTGAGTTGGGTCAAGTTTTAACAAATTCAAACCTTAATTCAATGACAATTTTTTTATTAGATAATTATAATGTTGAACAACATCAAAATATTTTATTTGTCCAATTTAATTTTTAAATATCATATTTATCTTTCATAAAATTTTAAAATACTTGATATCTTATATATATATATATATATATATATATATATATATATATATATATATATATATATATATATATATATATATATATATATAAATATATATATATATATATATATATATATATATAGGAGGCTTCAATTGAGAAAAAAAAATGTTGAGAATGGGGGAATCATTCTCAGCCACTCATTTATTTTTGCCGCAAAAGCCTCCGTCGTACCAGCGGAAATGAGAAATGAATAGACATGTGTTTTCCAACAAAACATATTTCCTTAAACTATGCTAATCATTACCTTAATATATACAAAAACATAGTTTTTTTTCGTTTTTTTAATTTTTAAAAAACTATTTTTATCGAAAAATGATTTTAAATATACCAAAATTCATGATTTTTTATTCTCTACAAATAGACATCCACATTGATATAGTTTTAAGATAAAATAAAAAATTAAATTTTTTTATATTTTCAGCTATCGTTATTAATAAGTGAATAAAAATGCATCAGGTTTTATTACAGTACATTCGTTATTCACTTATGAATAAAAAATATGATTAATTTTTTTTACAATTTAAGTATCATTCATATATGAATATAGCATATAATAAACATAGTATATTCATATTTAAATATTAGACGATGCATTCACTTGTGAATATTAACATAGTATATTCACTTGTGAATATTAGATGTTATATTCGCTTATGAATATTAAATGATATTTTCATATGTGAATATTACATAGTATTACATGGTATATCACATGTGAATATTACATAGTATATTCACTTGTGAATATTGGATGATATATTCACTTATGAATATTACACAGTATATTCACATATGAATATTACAAGGTATATTCACTTGTGAATATATTCACTTATGAATATTAGAAGGTATTTTCACAAATATATATAATTTTTATATGTTATTCACATATGAATAACATACAAACTTGCATATTTGTTTTGTGTTTTTAATAATTATATACTGATTCAGGTGAGAAAACATATTCATATGTGAATATAACGTGGTAATTTAGTTTATGCATTTCATCAAACAGTTGGAGTGCATACAAGTTAACTATTTTAAAAATGTTAAAAACGTGATACTTCCAATTCAAGTTATCAATTCCAAATCATCATATACTTCCGATTTCGACTTCAGATGTGACATCCTATGTCTGATCGATTTCTCATTTTGATTTTGATTTCCAAAAATCCGATTGGGAACCTGTGAGTACCGATTCCGAGTCCTTCAATGTCGACTGTGACTGCGAGTCCAGAACTCCGATTCCAATTTCATGAACAGCGAAGAAATTCCGATTCCAACTGAGTTCGTTTGCGAATCTGGGAAATTCCAGTTCCAAATCCGTTATGAACTTCAACAAATGCTTGCAATCTACGAACATTCGGAGTATTCAACAAAGAAATCGTTGAAATTGATGAATTTGGGTTGCGAATCTGTCTTGAACGGCGAACCTCCCAGCCACGAATATCGATGATTGATTAACACTGGATGACATTGATGATGGTTTAGTTGAAGAAATCTGGATGATTGTTGAAGGTTGGAGGAGAAATTTTGATGATGAACGAACTGTTATCAAATTCTCTATAGTTACGTATTTGAGATTGAATGTTATTAACATATTTACAAGTTTGCCACCGTGTCTTTTTATGCTTAGATTAAATGAGTGGCTGAGAATGATTCCCCCATTCTCAACCTTTTTTATTTTCTCAATTGAACTTACCTCTCTCTCTATATATATATATATATATATATATATATATATATATATTATATATATATATATATATATATATATATATATATATATATATATATTCATTTGAGACCACCTATATTTTGTGAGACATGGGGACCAAATCTTAGTCTTTGATCAAAACTGATCTTGTGGCTCATAAAATACGTGATTAACCCTAATTAATCTAATTGATTAGTTAATGAGGGGTAGATTAGTCACTAGGTTAAATTTTAGATGATCAGATGTGATTTAATGTTAACGTTATCTTCATGTCATCAAGATATCATCGGCTTCGATTCTTCTACCAAGATATTCGCTGGATCAACATTCATTGTTCTTCAATTCACTCTGATCAATCTTCTATCTCCTTAAATCTTCTATTCTTTCAACCGATAATCAATTTGATTTGGACATTGATCGAACAATGCTAAATAATAGCTATTAAAGTTGCGATTTTTGTGTTTTTTGAGTTCATGTTCATCATTCTTCTACATTTGCAATTGATAATCTGAGTGATTGAGGTTTATTTTCATCTATCGACACCAATAATTCATTACAAGATTGTTATCGATTTTAGCTCTATGATCATCGATTTCATCCAAGGTAGAGGTTCAAGTGTTCAATCGATTTCTGCTTATCTTCATCTTTAATAATTGCTAACGATCTTTCAAACTGTGATTTTTACTCTACATCACGACTTCATCAATTGATCAACGTTTGAGTTTTCTTCTTTGTGTTTTCATTGCTTTCATTGTTACTTGCATATAACATGTTCAATTGTTAACCTTGTAACATGAACTGATTGACTCATCAAGCTACTAGTCATTTCTCCAATATATGTATAATTCATGATTTCAGCAATCAAACATCATATTGATTAATTGAAATCAATTATTGTTCTTGAGAAAATTCTCTTAAACTATACATGCATTCTACCTATTTGATGAAAGTCCTGAATGAATAAAGATTCTGATGTATCACCCCCTCTTTCCCAAAAAAATAGTAACACCCATAAAAATCATTTCAAATTTAAACTTTTTAAAACATTTCAAAACACATGATTATTACAAAACTTGTTTTCAAAATAGTATAATGTCAGAGTATCCCAGAATCAAATCATGAAATCATGAAATATGAGGAGCTGTACGATCAAGCCTTCGCCTTCCCGCGATCATCAGAAGTACCTAAAACAATAATCGATAAATGTAAGCTTAAAGGCTTAGTGAGTTACCCCCAAAATACCAACGCCATACAAATATAACTATATCATATAAACATATAAGCAAACAACATGCATAATGAGCCTTCAGCCTGACTGGACCGCCTCGCAGGCCTTCAGCCTATCTGGACCGCTCTACGAGCCTTCGGCACATCTGGACCGCCTCGCAGGGCCTACAGCCTATCCGGACCGCTCGTCGGGCCTTCAGTCTGACTGACATGCCCTCCTGGGCCTGTAGTCTATCTCGACCGCCCTGGGTATGTTGGCCTTCAGCACAAAGCAAGTCTGCCTCAACCAAACCCCCAATCAAACAACATGTGCACATAATATCATACGCTAGCATATATAACAGTCAAACGGATCTAACAGATCATCAATCATAGCAACATTCTATAACCAGGATACAGACCTAACCGGTCACTAACATAGCATCATCCTATATACCAGGATACCGACCTAACCAGGTCACTAAGCGTAACACCATCCTAACTACCAGGATGTAAATCAATAAGCATATCATGCAATAAACCCGGATACAATCCGATAAGGGCCGGAATTGGTGCCTTAAACCCTGTTGATATAGTGAGGAGAACTCACCTCGCAAGAAGCTCAGGATGATAATGTCAATTCTTCCAAATATAGCTCCAACCACCAACACCTATAACCACCATTGGTCCAATCTCATAAATTCTCAATTCACTAAAATACCCTCAGAAGTCAACTGGTCAACCCTTGATCAGAGTCAAGGTCAATGGTCAATGGTCAACAGTCCATGTTGACCTACTTGTCGAGTGCAACTTGCCACTCGTCGAGTTCTTTAAAGATTCCTGAATCACTCGACTCGACTCGTCGATTTCCCAACTAACTCGCCGAGTCTATGCGCGTTCAAGTGTTGGAAAACCCTAACTGACTCGCCGAGTCATCTCCCAGACCCGCCGAGTCCATGCATGACCAATCAGTCGAAAACCCTACTCGACTCGCCGAGTCGGATTATCCGACTCGTCGAGTCCATGCAACTCAATCCATGTCCAGACGATTTTGAGCCATTCCAGTGTTCCAATCACTAGATTTAGCCTCCTAACGCATGCTTATAACGTAAAGTTGCAGACTTTACGTGCATGCAAGGCTCTAAAAGCTTAGAACTATAAATCCAAGCTTGCTACAACTGGAACTTTATAGCTATAAGGGTTAAGATAAGCTCAGATCTGAAGTTGCAACTCCAATTCCTAGCTCATACCCAAAAATGGTTCACATAAACCCCAAAATGGCCCTAATCTTAGATGTGAAGAGATCTAAAAGGAAGGAAGGCAAGGTAAC